CCCTCGGTTAGGGTTATGTAGGTATAAGTAGGGCAATAAACAGGGAACCCAGGGCGTAGTAAAGTGGGGCTGGTAGGGGAACCTTTGACAAACCCCAAGCCCAAAGCCCTAAACCCTAATCCCTAAGCCCAAAACCTGAAGGTCTTCAGCCGCTACTATCGACACGCGCAGCACAAGACAAGTTCCCTAGAGCAGTGCCGCTGGTCTGTAGTGGAGTGGGGTGTAGAAGAAACCCTAAGCTCTAAACCCCAACGATGTCAGCATGAAAGCTAGGTTTGGGGCTCGGGATTTTAGGGTTTAGGGTTTAGCGCTTTGGGGTGGGACTAGTGCCTACAATTGGACCCGTTGTGGTGCAATGGTAAATAACTCCCGCAGTTTCTCCAGGAGTTGCGAGCTCACCCTAATTGGTCTAAATTGGTCTTTGTGGGACATGTTTCTCGTGCTACAGCCCTAAAACGGAAAGAGACTATAAGATTTCCCTATGTCCGAAGCCTTTAACCCTAAACCCTGAAACCTTGAACCTTAAGCTCTGAATCCTAAAGCCTTGAACCCTAAGACCTAAGCCCTAAATCCCAAAACCCAGAAACCCTGAACCCTAAGCCGTAAGCTCTAAATCCTAAAGCCCTGAAACCCTAAACCAAAGCCCTAAACCCCAATTCCTACAGCCCCCAAACCTTAAACCCTAAACTAGGAACTAGTAAGCGGATATAATCATCCCTTTGCCTTCCAGGTTGCTGAGCGTGTCTTCAACATCATGCAGCCACATTTGGGGGTTTCCCAAAATTAGGGGTACCATTTTGGGGGTGCCCATAATAAGGCCTATAGTATTTCGGGGTCTATATTTGGGTCCCCCCTATTTAGGGAAACTACCATTTTCGACTTGGCTGAGAATGGTCTCGCCCAAGGGTTGGAACGGTTTGCAGTGGGTGGCGGTGCTCAGCCAAATCCATACTTCGCAGAAACCCGGCACACGTGCTCAACATTTTCGAACGCTGCGGGGACCGTTTTTTCAGTGCTAGAAATTTCCCACCTCAAGGAGCTCCCGCGCGCTTGCTAGGCGAAAAATCGCCGTGCCTGCAGCCCGCAGTTTGTCGGTTGCCTTCCAGGCACCGAACCTAGCTGACCACAGCATCAACCAACATTGCAATGATACAGTTCTACAGGCCATCAATGGTGAATCGTTCAACAATAATTACGCACCATGACACTTTCAGATCGGTTGCCTCCCAGGCGCCGACATATTCATACCCGCGACACCTGTGCAACATAAACAGCAAACACCGCGCCCGACACAATTCAGCACGATGCAGCACCAACTCTTTGGTACGGACAATGTCACAATGTCTACCTGACCATCATGCTCCTGTTGCCTATGCAACGGGAAACAAACCTTGACAGTTTGCAGAGCTTCACCGAAAAGCCCTGCGCGAGCACATGCTTCCCATGGGTGCGGTGTCCCGTGTCCTAGAGCCCCGCAGGGTTACCAGATCCCCTTGCCCTGAACCCTAAGCCCTGAAATCTAGAGGGTACGAATAGGTTTAGAGCATAAAGTTTAGGATTTGGGGTTTAGGCTTTAGGTAAAGGATTCTGTCCGTCTTAAACGTAAACCTTAGACCTGAACAACCACCCAAAATCACAGACTTTCGGCCCAAACCTATGAACCCCAATCCTCACTCACCAGTCCCTTCTGAAGCCTTAAACCCGCACTTAAACCCTAAACCCTAAACCCCTACACCCCAAACCCGAAACCCCAAACCCGAAACCCTAAACCCCTACACCCTAAACCCTAAACCCAAAACCCCAAACCCTAAACCCTGAATCCACATGCCCAAAAATCCTGCTGAAGGCAACTTTGGGGGCGCGGCACCTCAACAGCAATGGTATAGCTTGAGGTGTTAGCTAGTTGGGTCTAGCTTGTAGGATTTAGGATTTAGGGTTTAGGGTTTAGCGTTTAGGATTTAGGGTTTAGGGTTTAGGGTTTAGGGTTTAGCGTTTAGGATTTGGGGTTTAGGGGTTCGGGTTTAGTGTTTAGGACTTAGGGTTTAGGGTTAGGGTTTAGGCTTTAGAGGTTGGGATTTAGGGTTCAGGGTGGATAATTAGAGTAGGTCGTAAGGGTGGGTTTCTTACTGATGGCCTCTGGCCGGGCGTTTTTTGCGTCCGCCTGGAAGGCTCCGTAGCATCAGCTGTTTTACCATGCAATACCGCAAAGCCATTCAAAATACCCTAGTACCTGTTGATTGGGAAGTATTGAGGGAACATTTTCTGGGGGAGTGTTATTGGACACTGTCTGGAATTCAATTAGGGATTCAGACCCTAAACCCTAAGCCCTAAGCCCTAAGCCCTAAACCCTAAACCCTATTTCAGGCTTCGGGTTGCATAGGGATTAGACATTCAGGTTCCATCGCTTGTTTAGAGATTACAGCTTACCCGGGAAGCAAGTAGCCCATGCTTCACAGTCTACTTTGCAAAGTTTCCTGCCACTGTGTGCTAAAGTAGCCCTTGATTTTCCTGAAGCCGTAGACCCCAAGCCATAAGCCCTCAACCCTGAGTTGCGTACAATGAGTGTTTAAACACGGCAAGGCTCATGAAGAGGGTCCCGAGAAATCTTACCGGTGCTTAGGGAGGGAGGGGAGGATCCCCAGAATCTTCCTTCCTTATATGGCCCACATTACCACGGTTGTAGTACGTGTATTGCCTTCCCGCTAAACCCTCCCGAAATCCGATAAGGTCTTCAAAATTTAGGAGTTCAGGTTTTAGAGGAAAATCCTATACCGCAAGCCCCAAACCCTGAAAATCCAAGGGGCTAGTGAGCCCTGAACCCTGAATCGTAAAACATTATTCCTGGGATGCGTCCGCTTACTCCCCCTAATACCGTGGGGCCCTGCATAGACGCCTTCTAACAGGACAGTAGTTTACCGCGGCTCCTTGTCCCATTCCACGGTAATTTCTACGAGGGCAAACCCCCTGAACCCTGGATGCTTACAAGCATAAACGTCAACTAGGCCCCACCCAGAGATCCTAGTTCACTTTAATAATGGTATAGGGTTGCAGGTATGAAATTTGCTCAATTATAGTCAGCTGGTGTCCAGGTCAGCCGTAAAATCTAAACCCGGAACGCTAAACCTTAAACCCTGCCCGCGGCCATTTGTTACGATTTTGAAGCACAGCAGCCTTGGCGCGGCGTGAGATTATTGTTGATAACAATTAGGGCTTTGTAGCCCTAGTCCTCAAAGGGGGACCCTACTATAATCATGTCCCAGTGATAGGGTTTGTTTCTTGTTTTGGTGGGGGTTGGGGTTACAACAGCCCTAAACCCTCAAATCCTAAAGTCCCAAACCCCAAAGGGTTGGGGTTCTCAGTCTAGCGTTTAAGTTTATGACCCTAAACCCTAAACCCTAAAACCTCACAACTCACTAGCTCTCCTACAATTCTACAACGATATTTGGAAGAAGGGTGACGTTCCTAATTCCTGGAAAGAGGCTATAGTTGTTTCTATCTATAAGGGTAAGGGTTCTGATGTCGACCCCGCGAACTATCGACCCATTTCACTTCTTAATTCCATTTATAAGCTTTTTGCGGCGATGCTACAATCTAGATTGGCTAAACAACATGACGGACACCTTAGACCTACACAATATGGATTCCGGGCTAAAAGAGGAACAGCACACCCATTATTCATCTTACGAAGGGCCATGGAGTGGTCAGCAATGACGGCGCATCCCTTACAGCTACTGTTTCTAGATTGGAAGCAAGCTTTCGACTCCATTGACCACGACGCCATGATGATAGCCCTAAAGCGCTTTGGATTATCCCCCCAAGCCATCAATATTATCACTTCCATCTACCAAGATCCAGTATTCTTCACGACAGGGGTTAACGGGGATGTAGCGCAAGGCCGGGTAGGCTCGGGGATCAGGCAAGGGTGCCCCCTAAGTCCTTACCTCTTTGTAATGGTCCTTACGGTCATTATGGAAGACGTAGATTGGACCCTTCTCGCCAAAGATATCCCCACCAATACCTGGTCCGCAGGACGCCCGGTCTATGACATTGAGTACGCAGATGATACACTCTTGATGGGCTTGACCACAACGCAAATACAAGCCTTCCTTTCGGCTCTAGAGGACCAGGCTTCGCTTTATGGCATGGCACTTAATCACACGAAAACCGAGCTACTTGTAGACCCTCGACGGACAGCACCCAGGATTTTGTTTAAGGACGGCACGGCCGTCCCGACCACAACGCAAATTAAGTACCTAGGTTCCATAATTTCCTGGAGTAAGTCATTCGACGCGGCGTTCAAGCATAGGGCAGCTTTGGCCGAGACCGCGTACAAAAAATTAAGACTAGTCTGGAATAGTTCAGTCAGCTACAGGGAAAAGCTCAAAATATTTCAGTCGGTATTTATAGGAACCCTTATATACGGCCTGGACGCCCTCACACTACAAGACAAACACCTCAAGAGAATGGACGCGTATTATATCCGCTTTCTTAGACGAATTGTTGGTGTGAAGGCCTCTTATTATTCTCGAATAACCAACCTCGAAGTCTACAGAAGAGCAGGCGAGCCCCGCAAGCCCTCAGACACCCTCCATAAGCTCCAAATCATGATGCTAGACCAAGTATACTCCTCCCCCATCGAAGACCCTCTCCACAATGTTGTCTTTTGTTCGGCATACAAAGATAGAATTCAGGTTACAGGCAGAAGGCGTGGAGGAAAGATCCCCTATTGGCTTGAAATCACAACGCAAAGACATTTTCCACAGGAGTGGCATGCTAACCCTGGTGTAGGATTCCTAGGCCCAAACTTAGTATACGCGGAAATTGGTCGATCCTTGAGAAGACGCAGAGTGGCGCCAATGCGCGCAGAAAGCTAACGCGCGCCCGGCACCAGCAAAAATCCTGAAACCCTCAACCTCACCCTAAACCCTAAACCTTGAAAAAATACCTAAACCCCGAGACCCCTACACTTTAAACTCTTTCTACACCAGTGTCCTGCTCAGGTTCGCGCCCACATCGAGGACGGGCGGATCATCAGCGGCCAGCTCTGGTGTTTTGACCAGCTGAGGCGCAGAGGATGTATAGTAAGAATACTAGTACTAAAAGTAGGGGCTTATGAAAGGCTAGCTACATCCCAATTACAAGGGGTTGTATAGTTCTTTTATGATGCTATTGCTATGTTAGCATTATGTTGTTGCGATTACCCTAAACCCTAAACCCTAAACCCTAAACCCGTGTGTGTGTGTGTGTGTGTGTGTGTGTGTGGGGGGATGACCACGAAGGATGCAGGAGTTGCTGGTGATTAGGTGGCATGTTTTTGCTGGGCTTATGGTGAGTGTATGTGGGGGTTTCCCAAAATTAGGGGTACCTTTTTGGGGGTCCCTATAACAAGGACTATAGTATATTGGGGTCTATATTGGGATCCCCTTATTTAAAAAATTAGCATGTAGAGTTTCCTGGGAATATTGGTGAAGGCATATACGGGGCATCCGTTTGGGGAGATCATGATATGCAATCTTAACCACACATGGGGATGAGGCGGGGTATGCAAGCATTATCTTAGCTGAGCATGATCCTTCGGGAGCTAGTTGGATGCGGTGCTGAGAGCTTACGCTCAAGAGGCGATCGTAGCACCCTGCGGTGCGAAAGTTCTCTTTGAGATTGAAAAAAGTTTGGAAGGGATATACAGAGACAGTACATAAGCCAGGGTCAAAATTATCGTTACCCCACAGTACTGAGTGTGGTTTTCCAGTGCGTGAAAAAAACAAACGCGACAGCACAACGATACGGCGCACCCGAAGGATTAGACTTGAGTAGACTGAAATCAAGGTTCCATGTGGAGGCCGTACAGGGTATTGTCACTTTTGACGCGTGCATTCGGGAGCATGCCTCGTTTCAGACTGGCACCGAACATATTGGCCGCAGGTTGGACGCAGGAACCCGGCCTTTGGAAACACGATAAGTCCATCAAGGCTCAGAACAACAACGGGCACTGAGATGCCAGACAATAACCTTGCGCACGATTGCCAGGAATCTCATCCTCCTGAGTGGCTTCGAGACACGCACGGACCAGGAGATATGCAAACAAAACAGCAGCTTACAACTAGCAAGCCTTTCTCGTAAGCCCTAATGTTGTTTGAGTCAAGCGTAGCATCCTTGATGCTGCACTCCGATTACACCTTGATAGCCATGGGATTTGCTTTGATCGCTCCTTCAATCTTTATGAATCCTGAAAAGACATGAAAAGACATCTAAGCGTTTAGCCTTAGTCTGATACCGAAACGTTTTGTTGTGGCAGCTTCAGCGGTGAGGATGGGCAGCAGCAGCATCGGTCGTTGGGTCCACTTGTCATGGCACGGGACCCAAGAGAGGGCGATGGGTTCAGGGATTCGAAATAGTAGTTTCCATCTTTTCCATTATCCATGTATAACCCCGATATGTTAATTTCCCAAAATAAGGCTGCCCCAATATGGACCCCAGTATACTATAATCCTTATTATAGGGACCCCCAAAATGGTACCTCCCAATTTTAGGAAACACCCATATAAACCTAATATTGGTTCCAAGGCCCAGGATTGGTTCAGAGGGGCTTTTTTTGGTAGTACAGGGTTTGCATGATCATTGGTTCACTTTGGAGCACGGCCGGTTGCAAGAAGCTTAGGTTGGCACATGGATGTTTCTGCACACTGCTGATGCAAAGCAGGACTACGGCGCCGACTGGCATTTTGTCCGTGTTTGGCTACGGCAAGACTACTATCCGACCCCTGCGAGCAGATTTTAGCGCCAGGTGAGACAGAGAGTTACCCAAAGCCGCCTTCTTCTGGCCAATCCTAGTGCTGGATTATGCTGTCGGACTGATGGTTTTTCATGCTAAGCAACGTAATCCCGAACCCCAAACCCTAAACCCTGCTGTGGCCTGCACAGTCCATGGTATCCAAGGTGCCTGGCAAGTACATCCTGAAGCTGGAGGCAACAAAGGCAGCGTCTGAGGCAGGCCGCCATAATAATAAGACCAATGGGAAGAATAAGACTGTAACAGTGACAATAGGTAATAATAGTAATAGTAGCAATAAATGCATTAGTCATGAATAGCAATGGTAGTAAGAATACGAACACTTATAGCATGTATGGCTTTAGGGTGTGGGGTTTTGCAACTCTTAAACCCACCGCATCACTTCAAACTTGGACGTTTTTTCTATCGTGAGGGTGGCTCAGGAAGTCTGGCGCCAACCCCGTTCATAGCCCGAGAAAGGCCACATGCACCGGCAGAATGGTAACATCCTTGCTGAAATTACTTGGGGAAGAGCCCTTACCGCCCCCTTTGCTTTATGACGTAGTCCCAGACCCTGAAGTCAAGGTTAACGTTCGGTGGGAGTTTTTTCTGGCGTATTCGTAGTGGGGGAAGGAGGGCGTGGTTCCACAGTAGTCTTTATGGAGCCTGACGCTGTGAAATCCATGCAAGTCAAAGTGGGGCTGGTATGGCGGCCTCTCACTGATCCACGGAGCTCCACTCGTGGCTAAGAGAACTCGCCAGAAATCCCAAACCCCAAAACCCCAAAATTCAAAAAACCCTAAACCCTTAGCTCCTAAACCCCTAAACCCCTAAACCCTGAACCCTAACCCCAAAAACTACCGACTGCCAGCCCTACAGCCGCTGGGCTCTCAATCCTTGATTCCTTACAGGGACCCAAGGATTTTTACTATCATTATTGCTATTTTACATTTATGAAGTAAATGCTGGTTACTGTTAAAACTATTACGGATTAGTTGTATTTTTATTAACGTTACTACTGCCATTATTAAGTCTTGTTACTATGATATGAGCCCTGGACTAAATTTGTAGTAGATCCCTTATTAGGTCCCTTTCAAATCCCCCAAAAAAGTCCCCCAGGTCCCCCCAACCTAAATTTAGTCCGTAGCTCATATGATTTTTCCTTTTTTTTTCTATCCTCACTATTGCTATTATTAACTATTATTAACTCTACTATATGATCATTCTTAGTATGCTATTATTAACTATTGTTACTATGACATGATTTTTCTTGGTACTCAGCCATGGCTTCTGTCAGGCGGCCGCCGCAGCTGCCGAAGCTGAGCAAGGAAAGGAGCTGCCAGAAGCGAACTGAGCCGAGCGACAAGAAGAAACTGTTGGGGTTCAGGGTTTAGGGGTGTAGGGTTTGGATTCTAAGGTTCAGGGTGTAGGGTTTGGGGGATTGGACTTTGGGTTTAGGGTTCGGGGTTTGGGGGATTGGACTTCGGGTTTTGGGGTTGCAGCTTTGTGGTTAATTAGGCTTGGAGAGTTCAGGGTTTTGGGTTCATGGTTTTGGAGTGCCCTGTCAGCCACCAGATGATCGTGGAGTGGCCGGAAGACAGGCCCCGGTTCACAGGGCCTAAGTCATGGAAACGCCCAGCTTCAGGGTACAACTTTTGTAGGCTTGTCAGGCCAAAGAACTGCATTGTCGCAGGCGCCGGCTACGAAATGTGGATGAATGTCCAGTTCTGGCAGACTCGTCTCTGTTCTGCTGCGAACAGCGCCCATGATAACGAACCCCATGAAGAGCTAAGGCAGATACTGAGAACCAGCATAGTTTCGGCTTGGGCTTGGAAGGGACAAGCCAGTACAGTATTAGCAGCATTGTGATTGGAAGAACCAATGATAATAATGATGGTGAGAGGCATCAATAATAATGACCGCAGGATTCTTCAAAAACAATGTGGGGAATTGAAGTAGTAGGAGAGGTACTAACAAGGTTATAGCCAAGACGTGGGTCAGTATTGCGTTTATTACCAGGAAGTTGAAATGCGCAAGGTTTTACCGCTGCGTAATAGCAAGACTAGCCACGTAGATTACGGAAAGCGCTAGCGCCACAGCCCTTAAACCTGTCCCAATTCCCAAACTCCAACTTTTAAACCCTACGACCCGAAACCCTAGGTCCTAATTCCCAAGCCCCAACCTCTGAACCCTGTGCCCAGCGTTCTATGACAGTACCAGAGTCATTGAAGGCATAGTAGCCCATTGTTTGGGGTAGTTTGTCTTCCCAGGTAGAATTTGCGGGTCTCATGCGTTTGATGCTGGGCTCCGCTAAGGAGAGGGCTCTGCTCTGGTGCGACTTTTGCTTGAATGCGCAGATGTTGCTTCGGGCTGGGAACAGACAATGACCGTGCAGACATGTGAGCTACGGACTAAATTTAGGTTGGGGGGGACCTGTAGGGGACCTCATAGGGTTTTGGGGGGGACCTATTAAGGGATATCCTACAAATTTAGTCCAGGGCTCATGTAAGTTAATATTGATGTGTACTTGAGAAAGGCCTCTTTAAAGGAATCCACTGCGCTGCTGCCTTCTCTCAAGTTTTAGCTGGATCTCCATCCGTCTCCCCGGGGCACTGTGCAGTCCCCAGCTGGCAAGGGCTGTATACGTACTACAGTCTAAACTCCGCAAGGGGGGATTATATAGCGGATTATATAGAGGAGTATTCTGGGAATTAAGGGGGGATACTAGGAGTTCAGACTATAGCTCATATCAGGAGAGTAGGTGCTTCAGCTAGACTACAGGCCTGTCAAGCACCGCTTGCCCCACAATAATGGAGAACCAAATGGAAAAGAAGATGGAAAATGAAATGGCAACTAGGGTTGTACAGGGGATTATGGGGATACTTACGGCATGGCTGCTCAACGCTTTGCAGAGTTTGGGGTTCAGGTTCCGGGATTCATTTACTTAGCGACAAGGTTCTACTGTGATGTCCCAACTCCGCTATCGCCGATGCTTGAGCACAGCGTAGAAGCTAAAGCTGCAAGCACATCATGAACGACAATTAACCGTAATCTTTTCGGAGCTCGTGGTCGCTCCACTTGTTGCCTTTGAGGACAGCAGGCTATTTCATTTTTTTCGATTGGCCAATGCTCTCAGTACAGGATAAACTTCGCACGGCCCTGATCGAGTCTACTTTTTCTTGATGACTGTTGATGGCTGTTAGACACCTTGTCAGATTATATATGCATATAAATTTGAGGAAGCTAGCAAGATTCACAGTGATTCTTGTCCCGCGCAATCGCATGCGATGGCTCTTGCTTTTCTTCGGGCTTGTCAATGGACTTGTCTCAGCATTCCTCTGAATATGTCAGTTTGACTAATGTGATCATGGCCTGTTTACCTGCCCGACTCCTGAAAAGACACCCTCCTTTAATAGGTGCTTCTCAGGTTATGGTTTGTGTTTCTAGACATGTGCCAAAAAGATGGGCCTCCCACATCTCAGGTGCCCACTTGGGCCATGGATGGCGAGGACCAAGCAGAAATAGGGGCCGTGGGGATGCGAGGTTGGGTGTTGGGGCATAGGACTTTAGGCTTCAAGGCGAAGGTCTGCATGCTTTTGGGGAATGGCGAGGCAGGGAGAGAGATCCTGTGCCTTTCTGGTTCGTTGGCAAGGCAGGTAGGGTTTAGGCTTTAGAGCGTAGGACGTTTGGGAGCCTCACATGGAGAGGTCTCATCCTCGAGAGGCCAGGTCTTTTGGGGTCTCAGGTTGTCATATGTGAGTGGCACGGCGGCATTTGGCTGGACCCTGTGTGCTCCATGTAGACCGAACAGACCTGACGTTGTGTGATCCCTCAGGGGGACTTGTATGTTCCTCTTTCCATCCCCTATACCCCTGTCAAGGTCCCTAGGGTACCCTTATTTTGAGAGACCCTCATATGAGCTATAGTCTAAACTTCTTAAAGGGGTGTGTTATGTAGGGATTTCTATTGGGGAGTATGATAGGGCTTATTAAGGGGGATGCTAGGAGTTTAGACTACAGCTCATATCATCATGAGAAGTCCAAGCCTCACCGCCTGTACCACCTTTTGGGCAGCAGGATACCAGCCTGCCGGTGGCCGTGTTGGGCACCCAGAAGTTTAGGTCCCAAAATTAGGGTTTTAGGGTTTAGGGTTGAGGGTTTAGGGTTTAGGGTTGAGGGTTTAGGGTTTAGGGTTGAGGGTTTAGGGTTGAGGGTTTAGGGTTGAGGGTTTACGGAAAAATTAGGGGCACCATTTTGGAGGTTTCCACAATAAGGATTATAGTATTTGGGTGTCTGTGTTGGTAGTTGCCCAAAGTAGAGATTTACGGCTCTCATGATGTAGGAAGGGATACAGGGAAGATACCGCCTCCCCCTGAAAAGTAATTACGCTTGACCGACCTGGAGCCCTAGAAAAGCAAAGGCTCAATACAAGAGGGATGGTGCAGTCTAGTCTGGAATTGTATCTGAACATCGGGCTCTAAGTATTGAGTGGTAATGAAGCTCCATGGCTATCCCTGCAAAATGTGATGGGGCCATTCCCCACTTGCTGCTGGCCATCTCTTGGAAGCAGGAAAATCTGGCCGTAGCTATCTGATACCACAGATGCACATCCAGTGTAAACCTGTATTTGGACTCTGTCTTACACGGTCAAATGCCAATGCCCTCTGCCCCGTTCAGCCCAGCTCAGCCAAGCTCAGCCCAGCTGGCGGATATCATAATAATGGTAATACTGGTCATTAGTAAGCTTGATCCGATGATTCGCACTGGCATTCTTCTGAATAGCGATATGGTTCCTATTACTATTAGTAGTAAGGTTGGTGCGCACGGATGGTGCGCCCAAGTCGGTCCCGCCGCTGATCGCCTTCAGCCCTCGCCCCGATTCTTGGGGTTTAGGTCGCTGCTGTGTTGCCAGTGCTTGTGGTGCCGAATCAGCAGCACTAGCGCTTATGTAGGGGATGTGGGGGTTATGAGGTTACACAGAGTTTGCGGGATTATGTGAGGTTTTAGGGGGACAGTTACCCCAAAAGCGGAGAAGCATATGGAAAGGACAATGGAAAGGTATGAGGTGAGTAGCACTCATCGTAGTGGTACATGTGGCTAGCAGGAAAGGCAGTTGCACCAACAATATGAGCAACATGCAAAGCTGGAAGAGGATTTGGGTTTTGAACCCCGGATGTCGTGTTAACAGCAACAGCATTTGCAATGTAAACACTCCGACAGTCAAGTCTGCTTTGCTTGCCGCTCATGATGGACTCCCACGTCTACCGAGCAAGGCCAATCCAATTCTTCGGTATCTGTTGGCCGACGCCTCAGCGGGTACATTGTAATTTGTCTATTGCTTTGGTGCGATCGACCTTCAATTTGAGCTTCCTCACGCAAGCAAGGCACTGCTGTTTCAGTAGTGTGTGCTCGCCGGCTTCAGTATATGTGTACGATGAATCATGACGCTCTTGTTTGGGTTGCGCATAAGCAAGAGCCAATGCCATCAATTCGGGACCAGATTTGAGCGATTTCTTCCGAAGCGACAAAGTTATACCGACCGGAGCTCATAGATGACGGTGTCCACCAGACACAAACTTTACGGAAGGATTCTAGCACGTCAATGGGATCCTGTTGTGAGCTTCAGATGCCATGCCTTGTTTGCCGTGATAGGTTCCTTCGCTGATTCCTAAAGCCTTGGACCTGACAATCTTGAAAGGAAGTGTTGGCTTGGATGGGCGTTTTTCTGATTTGCATCTTTTCACTTTATCCAGGGAAAGGACTAGAAACTATGAAAAATCCTTATACATAGAAGTTTCCGTTTTGACTTTCATCAAGGAAGGCCTCAAGAATACTATTGTTATAATTATTATTGCTGTTGCTGTTGCTTCGTTGTTGTTATTATTGGTGTTACTATTACTATCATTGTTGCTGTTATTCCCATTTTCATGGTTACTGTTTCTATTACCATGACCACCATTCCCAAAAGTTTGCCCTGCAGGAAGAGCGGAGAACAACCAGATTCCGCTCAACGACAAGAAGATCTCCAAGGCGCCCCTGCGCTGCCGGATGGCCTTCGGTCAGCTAGGAATGAAGGAATGGATCCTCCTAATTCGAGTTTAGGATGTAGGGTTTGGGAAGGAATGGATTTTCTGAATTAGAGTTTAGGGGTGAGGGCTGGGGAAGGAGTGGATCCTTATAGTAGCCCTATATAACTCATGATGGTAGTTTCCATTCTCTTTTCCATTCCTTCATTCCCAGCTAACCAAAGCCAGTAGGATGGTATCAGTGAGGTTCGCACTTCTGTGACAGGATACTGAATATGTATACATATGAGAAAATAGCTACTACATGAGCACTATGTAATAGTCATAAA